GCTAAAATATCTGATATATAACCAAAAATGAATCATTTTGAAAGCTGCAACTTATTCAAAATAGTCATAAGATGTTTCAAATATCAAATATGTGCTGCCCACTAAGATGGTCCTTCATTTCTGGGCAAAATATTTCTCATACTTACAAAGTTTCTCCTCTTCACTTTTTTTTTTTTTTTTTTTTTTTTTTTGAGACAGGATCTCCCAGCTGGAGTGCAGTGGTGTGATCCCAGATCACTGCAACCTCTGCCTTCTGGGTTCCAGTGATTCTCCAGCCTCAGCCTCCCGAGTAGCTGGACTACAGGCACCAGCACCATGCCCTCCTAATTTTTTATATTTTAGTAGAAACGAGGTTTCACCATGTTGCCCAGGGTGGTCTTAAACTCCTGAGCTCAGGCAATCTACCTACCTCGGCCTTCCAAAGTGCTTGGATTACAGGCATGTGCCACCGTGCCCAGCCCTCCTTCACTGTTTTGTTTGTTTGTTTGTTTGTTTGTTTGTTTTTGAGATGGCATCTTGTTCTGTTGCCCAGGCTGGAGTGCAGTGACACAATCTCAGCTCACTGCAACCTCCACCTCCCAGTTTCAAGCAGTTCTCCTGCCTCAGCCTCCTGAGTAGCTGGGATTACAGGCATGCATCACCATGCCTGGCTAATTTTTTGTATTTTTAGTAGAGACAGGGTTTCACCATGTTGGTCAAGCTAGTCTCGAGCTCCTGACCTCACAATCCACCCACCTCAGCCTCCCAAAGTGCTGGGATTACAGACGTGAGCCACCACACCCAGCCCCCCCCCCCTTCACTGTTTCATGTAAGCTGAGTAGGTCAAGTAAACAAAGGTTTCTGGGCCAGGTTCAGTGGCTCACGCCTGTAATCCCAGCACTTTGGGAGGCCAAGGTGGGCAGATCATGAGGTCAGGAGTTCGAGACCAGCCTGGCCAACATTGCGAAACACCGTCTCTACTAAAAATACAAAAATTAGCTGGGCATAGCTGGGCATAGTGATGGGCACCTGTAATTCCAGCTACTCGGGAGGTTGGGGCAGAAGAATCACTTAAACCCAGGAGGTGGAGGTTGCATTGAGCCAAGATCGTGCCATTGCACTCCAATCTGGTGACCAGAGCAAGACTCCGTCTCAACAAAAAGAAGAAAGAAAGAAAGAAAGAAAGAAAGAAAGAGAAAGAAAGAAAGAGAAAAGGTTTCTAGACTTTCAGAAGATGCTAAGAGGGACTTCTCTCTGTACCTTCTCAGATTAGTGAACTCTGATAAAAGGCTTTTCCACATTTGTAGATTCATAGGATTTCTGCCTTCTATGTGTTTTCTGATGTGCTATGAGTGATAAATTCTGGTAGAAGGTCCTCTCACATTCATAACATTTGTAGGGTTTCTCTCCTGTGTGGGTTCTCCAATATACTGTGAAGGATGACTTGTGGTAAAAAGTTTTGCTGCATTAGTTACATTTATGAAGTTTCTCTCCTGAGTGAGTTCTTTGATGTTTCGTAAAAGCTGATTTCTGGTTAAATGTTTTGCTGCATTGAATACATTTTATATGGCTTCTCTTTTTAATGTCTTTTTTGATGTACAATAAGGGACAACTTCTGGGAAAAACTTTTCCCACATTCATTACATTTACATGGTTTCTTCCTATGTGCGTTCTCTCATGTACTGTAAGAGATGACTTCTGGAAAAAGGTTTTCCCACATTCATTACATTCATAGGGTTTTTCCCCTGAGTGAGTTCTCTGATGCACAATAAGTTTTGACTTCACTGAGAAAGACTTCCTACATTCATTAAATTCATAGGGCCTTTCTCCAGTATGAGTTCTCTGATGGTAAGTGAAGTTTGTCTTTTGTGAGAATGTTTTCCCACATTCATTACATTCACAGGGTCTTACACTTGTGCGTATCCTTTGATGTATTATGAGGAATGAATTGTAAACAGAGTTTTTTCCACATTCTTTACAATCATAGGTTTTCTCCCCTGTGTGAATTCTCTGCTGTACTCAGAGATTTGACTCCTTACAGAATTTTTTTCTGCATTCACTATAGTCATAGGGTTTCTCACCTGTGTGTGTTCTCTGATGTACTGTAAGGCCTGGCTTTTATCTGAAGGCTTTCCTACATTCAATACACTCATAGAGTTTTTGCCCTGTGTGTATCCACCAATGAACTGTAAGGCCTGAGCTATTTGTGAAGGTTTTCCCACATTCAGTACATTCATAAGGTTTCTCCCCTCTGTGTATCCTTTTATGTGCTATGAGAGATGACCTGTGGCCGAGAGATTTCCCACACTCATTACATTCATAGAGTTTTTCTCCTATGTGTGTTTGCTGATGTTTAGGGAGAACTGACATATGCCAAAAAGAACTCCCATAATGACTATTTTGAAAGGTTTTCTTTTCTGTGTATGTATGCTGAGAGAGACTTGGTTTCTTAAACATTTCCCTGCATTCATTATGTTCAAAGCTTGTTTTGCCTTTTTGAGTTCTTTCAGTGTCAATGAAGGGTGACTGCCTGCCAAAATTATTCCCACACTCATAGTATTTTTTCCCCATGTTTTCTCTACAGTGTCTATGGGACTTCATATGCAAATGCTCTAGAATAGCCCAGGCATCTGATCTGAAAGTAATCCTGAGGACATACATCTCACTCCCTCAGGATTAGACAAAAGAAACGAAACAGGAAAAAAGAGGAGAGGAATCTGCAAATAAAAACACACTAATCTGGCACTTTAGGAATGTGACTGTCAAAACTGGATAAAGTGGAATAAACACAAAATGCAACAAATCATATTTTTGGATGAATTATAGAGGCATGAAGGGGAATCATAGAAAGGATTGAATAGTAGGGATAATTGCCAGAAAGAAAATATTAGGCAATAGTGTTTGAGGGGCAAGAGCAAAGGAAAAATTAAGTTTGGAGGAGGCAGATGTGTACCTAAGTTTTTATCTTCTGCTGTAAAATACTAATACATATGTTTCCAATGCATCACTGCATCTTTTCTTTTCTTTATTTTGTTTTATTATTTTTTTCAGACAGAGTCTAGCTCTGTTCCCCAGTCTGGACTGCAGTGCCGCAATCTTGACTCATTGCAACCTCTCCTTCCCAGGTTCAAGTAATTATCCTGCATCATCTTCTCAAGTAGCTGGGATTACAGGCACCTGCCACCACACCTGGCTAATTTTTGTATTTTTTTTCCTTTTGAGATGGAGTCTTACTCTGTCATGCCCTGGCTGAAGGGCAGTTGCATAATCTTGGCTCACTGCAATCTCCACCTGCTGGGTTCAAGTGATTCTCCAGCCTCAGCCTCCTGAGTAGCTGGGATTACAGGCACCCACCACCACACCCAGCTGATTTTTGACCTCAGGTGATCTGCCCACCTCGGCCTCCAAAGTGCTGTGATTACAGGCATAAGCAACCACACCTGGCCCCTAATTTTTATATTTTTAGTAGAGATGGGGTTTCATCATATTGGCCAGACTGGTCTCAAACTCCTGACATCAAGTGATCTGCCTGCCTCAGCCTCCCAAAGTGCTGGGATTACAGGCAAGAGCCACCTTGCCTGGCTCTTCTCTTCCATTCATCAACACCAAGTTACGATTTCAGAGAGAAATAATTTTTCATGTGCAAAAGAAAACTGCTATTGTCCAGTTATTCTCACTCTAGCTGATTCACACAAAAAGCCAATGTCCAGAAAAAGCATACATGTAGACTATGGAAACAAGATCAGGTATGTAGTTTTATTCTGCTATTGTATCTTTATTTTCTTCTACCACAGTTGTCATTAATGAACCTGTCACAGCCATCAAATCATAAATTTTCCCTATTTGTCAATTTATTTCATAAACAGTCTTATACCTCACACAACTCTACTTTTTTCATAGTCATCTTTTTCTTTTCATATATATAATGTATATCATATATATATAACTGTATATATTACATACATAAATATACATATATAATTTTTTTAACCATTTATTTATTTCAGCCTTTCTGGTTTCTTTTTCCATTGTGAACTTTAAAGACCATAATTTTCAATCTAATCTTAGAATCTTTACTGATCTTGATACAGTTAATCCTCATTATTCATGGATTTTGTGACTACAAATTTATCTACTCATTAAAACTTATTTGTAAGCCCCAAATCAATACTCTTGGTGCTGTCATTGTCAAGGACATGCACTGAGCACTTAAAAATTTCAGTCACTTAACACACATATTCCCAGGTGAAACGGAACAAGGCAATACTCGAGCTTCTTGTTTCAGTTCTCATACTATAAACAAGTGCCCTTCCCTGGTACAGGCAGTGCCACATTTTTCAGTTTTCTGGGGTTTGCTGGTGACTTCACTGTTTAAAATAGTCCCCTGCTGTAGGACTGAAGAACTGTCTCTCATGTTCCTAAGTGCAAGAAGGATGTGATGTGCCTGTGGAAAAAATGTGTGTGTTAAATAAGCTTTATTCAGGCATGAGTTGTAGTGCCGTTGGCCATAAATTCAATATTAAGAAATCAACTGTGTATATTAAATGAGATATTTTTAAGAGAAACTCATATAAAACAAGATTATGTATGGATTGGCTAACAGAAATGTGGGCAGAAGCTGGCAGGAACTAACCCTGTATTTCTTCTGGAAGCAATGATTCAATATTCATTAATTCAGTGCCCGTGGTAATTTTCCGGAACATAAATACCATGAATCATGATAACCAACTATATCTTTTTATTATGAAGTTTCCTCTGACAACTGTTCCTACCCAGATTCAACACAATATTAAAAATACTATTAAAAAAAACAATACTATTGTCAAACATACATATACACACATATATATACATTACCTATATATACATAAATGTAGGTAATGTATGCACACATGCATATGTAATGTGTTATATGTGTATATATGTCATAGATTACCTGCATGTATGTGTGTATATACATATATGTATATATGTAATAGATTACCTACATTTATGTGTATATCCCACCCCGGGGGCTAAAAATGTCGGCCACCTTCATTGGTAACAACACAGCGATCCAAGAGCTCTTCAAACGCATCTCTAAACAGTTTACAGCTATGTTCAGGCGCAAGGCCTTCCTGCACTGGTACACGGGCGAGGGCATGGATGAGATGGAGTTCACCGAGGCCGAGAGCAACCTTAATGACCTGGTGTCAGAATACCAGCAATGCCAAGACGCCACAGCTGAGGAGGAGGAGTTTGAGGAGTGTGCGGAGGAGGAGGAGGAGGTAGCCTAGAAGCTTCCTTTTCTAGATAAAGGGGGAAGCAGTGTGGATTTTTTTAGTGTGTTATGATAGCCGTTGTCACTACACACTTGAGTCTTTACATCTCCTGCATTTTAAAGCATTTTCATAGCAAGTAGTTTGACCTAATAGCAAAAAATATATATATATATACACATATGTAGGTAATCTATTACATATATATACGCATATAACATATTACATATGCCTGTATGTATACATTACCTACATATATGTATATGTATACACATATACATGTATATACATATGTAATATCTGTAGGTAATATAGATATTACGTATGTAATATATGTATATACATGTGTATGTATATATATACACATATATGTATATATGTATATACACATACATTCCATTAGTTCTGTATGTATGTATATATGTAATATATAATATATATGTATATGTAATATATAATACATATATACATACACATATATGTAGGTAACATATATATGTATTAATATATAAACATATATACATATATGTAGGTGATATATCATATACACGCACATATACATATATGTAAGTGATATATACATACACATATACATATATGTAGGTGATATATACACACACATACGTATATGTAGGCAATATATACATACATATATACAGATTACATATTGCATATGTATATATGTATGTAATATGGCATATTACACATGTATATGTGTATGTGTATAATATATTGCCTACATATATGTAATATATATTACATATATACATACATACACACACATATATTCCATTAGTTCTGTCCCTCTAGAGAACCCCAATACAGATTTTCATACCAGGAATCATTTTAGAGGAACAGAATATTAGAAATGGAGCTCTTTTGTTGGTTTTGGGGTTTCAGGAGTTGGCTGCTTAATATGATTAGACCCCAAAATGCCAAGGACTCTACTTCTAATAGTATAAAGAACACTTGTAGTCCTTGGCATGAACTGCTTAGAGAGTTATGCAAAATAAATGCATTTGACACTCCTGAGTCATTGCTCATGAGAGGCAAAGAGTTTAGTAACACTATATATAATACCTTTGACCATATGTGGAAACCAAGGAACATAATGAAGCTGGTTGGTTGCTCCTACATTCAAGGAACCAAGTGATGAAATAAAGTGATGAACTAGGCCGGGCATGGTGGCTAAAGCCTGTAATCCCAGCACTTTGGGATTGAAGCATGCAGATCATGAGGTCAGGAGATCAAGACTATCCTGGCCAACATGGTGAAATCCTGTCACTGGTAAAATACAAAAAAAAAAAAAAAAAAATGGCCAGATGTGTTTGTGTGCACCTGTTGTTCCAGCTACTCAGGAGGCTGAGGCAGGGGAATTGCTTGAACCCAGGAGGCAGAGGTTGCAGTGAGCTGAGATTGCACCTCTGCACTCCAGCCTGGCAACAGAGCAAGACTGTCTCAAAAAATAAAAGATGAACTCAGGGATTCTATCTCCCAGCTTCAGAAGCAGATATTAGATATTGAGCCTCAAATCTGCTAAGATTGCCCTGAGTGAGTCTTATCTCCTGTAGAGAAAGAACGGAAATTGTGGAAAAACAGACACAGACACAAGCTCTTATCATGTGAGTGGCTGGCCTGCAACAAAAGGTGCACGCACAGCCTCACCAGGCATCTACTGCAAAAGTGAGGGCATTGGTTGAAAAAAAAATAGGACCTGCATCTTGGAATGGTGACATGTGGGAGGACCTGATGAAGCTGGGGACACTGAGTTTGTAAACTCTGATAAAACCTTTTTACCAGAAGAAACAGCTTCCCCATGCCCAGTAGTGGCAAAATCCCCTCCCTGACCCATGCTGGCATCAGCCTTTCCACTTTTGTCTGAGGAGATAAACCCTGTGCTGCCTGAGGCAACAGTGACGGCCTCCCCTGAGGCAGGTGCCAGGCAAGATAATGTTGATTCTCCTCAGGAGCCACCCCCAACACCCATTTACTTCTAGACCTACCACTAAAGTCCCAATGGGCCCCTAGAGGTGAGGTTGAGAATGTGCGCTACACTGAAAAAATAACTGCTTGAGTTTTCTAATTCATATAAACAAATATGGAGAACAGGCATGGGAATGGATATTATGGGTGTGGGATAATGGTGGGATAATAAGAAACACAGGGTTGAATCAGGCTGAATTTACTGATTTGGGCCACTAAGTAGGGACTCTGCATTGAATGTTGCCACTCAAGGAATTAAAAAAAGGTTCTAATAGTTTATTTGCTTGGTTAGCTGAAATATGGATTAAAAGATGATCCACTGTGAGTGAGCTGGAAATGCCTGATCTCCCTTGGTTTAATGCAGAGGAAGGGATACAAAGGTTGGGGGAGATTGGGATGGTGGAGTGGATTAGTCACTTACATCTACTCATCCCAGCTGATATACATGCAGATGATATACCCTTGACCAATGCCTTGCAAAACAGATTTGTGAGGGTAGCATCTGCATCTTTGAAGAGTCCTGTAATTGCTCTTCTCTGTATGTCAGATCTAACAGTAAGCACCGCACTCAACTACAAAATTAAATATCAATGGAAATAATCAGGATCCGGAGGTGGCAGGGGCCAAGTGGCAACACTCAACCACCAAAGGCAAAGTAGACATACCTACTGTAATGGACCGCAGAGGCAAAGTGGCAATCAGAAGAGTCTGACTCAGCAGAGCTCCAGCATTGGCTAGCCATGGCGTTCCTAGAAGTGGAATTGATAGGAATAGAAAGCCGACTGCATTCCTACTTAATTTATATAAGCAGTAAACGTCTAGGTTGAAGGGGTAAAAGACTAATTTGAATTACAAAAACAGAATTGGCTAGCATGGTGGCTCACACCTGTAATCCCAGCACTTTGGGAGGCCAAGGGAGGTGGATTACCTGAGGTGAACTAATGTAAGTATCAATAAATTGATGACCACAAGCCAGGCACAGTGGTTCACACCAGTAAGCCCAACACTTTGGGAAGCCAAGGCAGGTGGATTGCTTTAGCCTGTGTTCAAGGCAAGCCTGGACAACGTGGTAAAATTCTCTGTCTGCCAAAAAAAAAAAAAAAAAAAAAAAAAAATAGCCAGGCATGGTAGTGTGTATCTGCAGTCCCAGATACTTGAGAGGCTGAGGTGGCAGAGTCACCTAAGCCCAGGAGTCTGAGGCTGCATTGAGCTATGATTATGCCACTGCAATCCAGCCTGGGCCATAAAGCAAACTCCATCTGAAAAAAAAAAAAACAAAAATCAGAATAATGATGATGATAATGATGATGATGACTCCAATGAGCAGGTACACACCTGATATGTTTAAATTGTTGAGTTTATAATGATATTAAAGCATGTGGTCAATAGAATAAATACATCATCCAGATATTGGAATTAGCATAAAAAGACAACAGTATTCCCCTTTTATCTGTAGGGCATACTGTGGAAGACCTCCATTGGACGCCTTAAACCATGGATAGTACAGAACCCTGCATTAGCACTTATCACGCTGTGGCTGCAACTTTTGCAGTTTGAGGTACAAAAGCAAAACTCACAAGAATTTATTTTTCCTTTTCCACAATTGTACAAATAAAAGATTAATTCTTACCCTAGATGTTCGCAACCTCAGCATATTTTTTTCCTCATCAAGTAGAAGACTTTCTGCTTTTCAGTTACTGAAAGCATTCTCGCGTGTCTCTTTTGCGTATCTGAATTGCCAGCATCACTACTCTTGCATATTGGGACCATTACTAAGTAAAATAAGGGTAACTTGAACACAAACACTGAGATACTGAGACAGTCCATCTGACAACTTAGATGGCTGCACATGACTAACGAGTGGAAGCAGGAAGTGTGGATCTGCCAAGCAAAGTTATACGTCACATCCTGAACAGATAACAGCAGAATGGCGGGAGGTTGCATCACATTCCTCAGAAAAAAGCATGACTTAAAACTTACAAACTGTTTACTTCTGGAGTTTTATACTTAATATTTTTTTGACCGTGGGTGTCTGAAAGTGAGAAAACTTAAGCCACAAATAAGGGGATACTACTATATTATAAATATACTCAAGGACTGCAATAATAATCATACTGAGTAAACAGATGTGAAGTCTCAGCAGAGATTAAAAACTATTAAAAAATAAAAATTCTAGTACTTAATAATACAGTATCTTTCATTTTCGTTAGACTGAGAAGAGGCAGGAGAATAATTCCCAAAATTAATTTTTTTAAAGTCAATCAATTTTTAATTACTTCAAGTGCTTTCTAGGTTTTTAGGAAACCAGATTACTACTTAGAAAACTGGTAAATAGGGCCAGGCACGGTGGCTCAAGCCTGTAATCCCAGCACTTTGGGAGGCCGAGGCGGGTGGATCACGAGGTCAAGAGATCGAGACCATCCTGGTCAACATGGTGAAACCCCGTCTCTACTAAAAATACAAAAAATTAGCTGGGCATGGTGGCACGTGCCTGTAATCCCAGCTACTCAGGAGGCTGAGGCGGGAGAATTGCCTGAACCCAGGAGGTGGAGGTTGCGGTGAGCCGAGATCGCGCCATTGCACTCCAGCCTGGGTAGCAAGAGCGAAACTCCGTCTCAAAAAAAAACAAAAAAAACAAAAAAACAAAAAACCTGGTAAATAAAAGAGTAACTGATAAACAGAAAATGTTAAATAAAGGGAAAGAATCAACATATTTCTTCTACTTTTCCTCAACAAGTAGTACCTCAGGGTAACCACAAAGAGATAACAAAGAAAAACTATCTACAAAACTTTTCTATTTAATATATGAAAGAAGAATAGGGCCGGGCGCGGTGGCTCACGCCTGTAATCCCAGCACATTGGGAGGCCGAGGCGGGTGGATCACGAGGTCAACAGATCGAGACCATCCTGGTCAACATGGTGAAACCCCGTCTCTACTAAAAAAGCTGGGCATGGTGGCGCGTGCCTGTAATTCCAGCTACTCAGGAGGCTGAGGCAGGAGAATTGCCTGAACCCAGGAGGCGGAGGTTGCGGTG